TGCTGACTCAGATCCATTCTAGTCAATTCTCGCATTTGCATTAGGAAGTGATTAATTTTTCCTACAGAAGAAGGAGGCGGGATTGATGGCAGGGGATGTTTTGTGGTTTAGGGACAGATGAGAGATTGAGGTCATCTGGATGGGATCTTTGCTTGGCTCAGCCTCAAGTTCCTCAGACAGCCTTGAATGCTCCACTGTTTAAAAATCCATAAAATAAGGTTGGACTTAAAGCAGATGCTGCAAATCAATCAGATGTGATAGGCCCAACACGGGAATTGCTGACCTGTGTCATACACAGTTTAGCCTAGATGACTAGACTCTTCTGACTTTAGCAATAATTCCTAAAGGTGATGAGTTTCTCATTGTTTGAGGCTTCTGAAGATTTGCTTTGTTGATTTATGTGGTCTTTCAATTTATCAAGTAAAGCACTGGGCAAGAGATACCGTTCCTTTCAGAGGTCATCAGGGCAAGTAGGGGGAAACTTTTTATCCCAGCTCAACTTGGATTCATTTCATTTAGCAGCAGCGAGGGAGTGCTGTTTTTGCAAACTGTATTTCTGTTTTCTGCTATGACTGATGACTTATGTTTTTGCAAGAGAGTTCTGCTCCTTCTGTTCTTGTGCTACACATGCACGTGTACCTGCTTGGTGGAAAGAGCAGGAGTAAATCAGTGCAAGCAGCAGCCTTGCAACACCATACATGTGATTCTTGGGCATCATAACAGAGGACAGTTTGATGTGGTCTGAGCAAGTAATAGGCAGTTTCTTTTTCACACATTGTAGGTTGAGGAGAGACCACTGAAGCTAGGCTGGGAATTGATGGTGATCTAACCTCAGACGGCTGCTGACACCAACCAGTGATGGAGATACTGTTATTAACATAGGTTTTACAAAAGTTGGTTTGCAAGGATTTACAGTGCTGTTTAAATATTAAGGACATGGCATGGCTGCTTTGTTGGTCTAGTTGGGAACATTGCTCTGAAGGCAGAGTGATGCAATGCACAATGATCTGCTGATGTCAATAGATTTGTTATATTGCAAGTCAAAAACCCATATGACTTGAACACCAGACATACGACAAATAGGGATTAGGAAACAAACCTGGCACCCTGGCCTGTTTCTAGTCTGTTTTTCCACGCCTCTGTGCTGGATTGCTGTCCTTGCTATTTTCAACTTCATTTTCAAACCAGCCTATAATTGCAGCCATACCTATAGCCAAGGCCTCCTCTCCGGCCAGGTCTTGCTCTCAGTGGTTTCCTGCTTCCTTTTCTCCTTTACTTAGTGCCTGCCTGTTTGGTTTAGTCTGCAAGAGTTGTCCACACGGAGGAACCTGTTCATTAACAGCCTTCTTCCTCTCCCTCTGAAGCTGTATGAAACCTTCACCTATTTGCAGCAGATATTCTTTGTGCAGTGCTGAGTCCTCAGCTGATGTTAGGCTTGATGTTCCGTATCTATGCATCTTCACAAAGGGAGTGAATTTCAAGTGCACTTAATACCTGCATCTTCTGCTAAATTTAAGGTGTCCACCTCTGGCAATGCTCGTGCCAGGCTGTGACCATGGTAAGAGCAAGAATGCAGCTTTTACAGCAGGACAGTACGTCAGAGAGCAAGACCAAGACAAATGTTATAGTAAGGGATTTTTTAGACCACTTAAACCACCTAGTTTTGTGTTCACGTCACTTTAAATTCTTTAACTACTTAATATTTTTGGGTAAAAGAAGAGTGTTGAAGATCCCAAATGCATCTTTTACATGAGTTACTCAAAATTACAGTAGACTTCAGCTCCTTCAGCAGACTCCAGACAGGCTAAACTTTGTAACTCCTGCAATACTGAAGGGAGCTGCAGAGAGGGGTCAATTGCAGAGAGTAAAAAATGAAAGTAGCCAAATACTTCCTCTCTCCTCTTCCTTTCCAAATGAAAGTGTTTCAGGCCTTTTTTACCTGTCACAGAAAATAAATTACTTTGTACTAAAAGGTGGGTATTATATGAATATTTTGTTTTGAAAGTGCTTGAGCAACACATGGGAAATACTCTATTTCATCACTGTTTCATGACAGAAAGTAGTTTTTTTAGAGGAACTGGCTGTAACTATGCTTTTCAGGAATGCTGGCCCTATATATTGCCTTATATGCTTTTGAAAGCATTTCCTACAGAGGGGTAACTTGCCTTGTGTGACTAGATTAACCTGTGCAGGTAAGACAGAAGCTTTTAAGTATATATCCTTACCCCTGTGCTCCCATGGTGTTAGGGCTTGGTGAATCTTCTTTCCCCCAGCTTTGTGGCCAGCTCCCTGACTCTAGCACTGGCAGTCCTCCTCGGCAGAGACATAATGGCTGTCCGTGTTTGCTTTATTAAGTTTGCCAATGGTGTTGCAACTGGCACTAATTGGCATTTTTGCTGGTAGCCTTTGCCAAGAGACGGAGAACTGAACGGGCTGTGGAGCCTGCGCTCCGCTGTGCTCCAAAGGTGGCGGAGGACAGAGACATGCTGGCAAGTCAGTCTGAGGAAAGCTGATGCCACTATGGCTTGGTCTATAAACAAAGGACTTCTGTTCCCAAAGCCGAGACGCCCCAGCCTTTTTCCAAGCCATGACGCTGTTTGAAAAACAAGCCTGGACCCAGCTGGGTGAGTGATCTGTGTAGTTACTGGTGTAGTTTGCCCACAGTTCCTCTCGGCCTCTCCAGATTAAGCATCCCAAACATATCAACGAGCCATACGTAACGAGGTCTGTCAGCAACCTTCAGCAGAGTGACCCCAGCACGGGCTTGGCAATAGGCTTGACTTCTGTCCTAGGGTAACAGGAGGGGCACAGCGGTTAGCTGACTTCGGACCCATCGCAGCATGTTGAGGGGACCCTTTGTGTTTGCTGCGGTGAATTACTGGAGGTAATTCTGCTGCTGGTGGAAGGGCTGTAGGGAATCACAGGGGCAGCTTTGGCCTTGGATTCTTTTCTCGTTAACGGGCACATTTTAAGGTGTAGGATGTCCTGCCCAGCCTGTCATGTTGTTCCAATGTGTAATTACCCTCACAGCTTGGGAACTGGAGCATCTTCCAGCACTCAGTTCAACTGAATCTCACTGCTGAATTTCATTATGCCTTTGCCAGCAAGGCTGATAAACCTTTCCTCCCACCCCCAGCTCTGTCTCTGCCACCTCAAGACATTTTTCCATGTGCAAGTTAGACCCAACTGCTTCTCATCTGTTTTGGAACATGCTTCCACATGCTTATTACAGAAGCAATGGGGAAAATGTACTCAAATAAAGAATTTAGCAACATAGACTTTTATTTTTTTTTTTATTAAGTGGCTAAAAGTGAGGGATTAGGTCTGTGGATTTCTGTATTTTTAGTATCAACAAGGTAGCTGAAGAGAACAGTTAGAGTTGTTCTGTGCTTTCTAGCAAGGGACCTAAATTTCCCATGGTAATTATTTGAGCACAATTCAGCTTGGTTTCTTGGGAAAAAGGAACATTTGCTCTTCTAGGAAACATTTTCAGTGCCATCAGTCTAAGAATAGCAATCTTTCTGTTGCATCTCAAATTTCAGTAGTATGGCTTATCTTTTATTGTGCATGCAGTAGGGAGATTATTTTAGATGAAATACCACTCTATTCTGCTGAAGTATGAACAGCTTATAGTGCCTCATACTGTGGGTTTGTTTTTTTTTTCCCCTAACCAAAAATTAATTCACAAATAAAGAAGTTTGTGCTTTTAACATGGCCTCTTCTCTCTGAGCGCACCAGTTCCTTGATGACCCCAAAGGGAACAACAGAGCTGAAATAGTTCAAGTGGCAAACGATTCCCTGGCTACAAATTTAGTCACTGAAACAAAACCCTACAGTTTCACTGACGACTTCCAAGAACAGAGGCAAAGCTGCAGCGCTGTGGCCCAGGAGGTTTCTACCATTGCAAGGCTGGTGGAGCCAGTGCAGCTCGCTCCCTGCAGAGCAGGCAGGGGCAGTGCCAGTTTTTTACAGGGAAGTAAGCAGTGTGACTGCCCAGAATGCTGTAGACTAAAGGTTGCAGAGCAAAGAACTGAAGCTGTACCCTTTGCTCAGGACTTTGATGTGTCTAAACACAAGTGTTGGAGGCAGGCTATTACCCCTAAAGGGCTTTTTGACATGGAGCAGCTGTGAAGATGTTTTATGTACCTTAGAGCATCTCAGAAGAGGGATAGTGGGGGGCGGCAAGACTGCATATCTAAGCTACTCCTCTGGTACCCAGAGTAGACACTAAGACTGCCACAGCACTTGGCTGAACCGAAGCTATCACATCCCACTGGAGACTGGCAGTGGGGAGACCAGAATCCACCAGAAAAAAACTGCTCTAGGGTCTTGGTCTTGCCATACCTACATAAATCCCTGTGGGTATAGCAGAGGTTGGGCACAAGGCTGGCCCTCCTGCTCTGCCCTACCCTCCTCTCCCTGCAGCAATCAGAGGGGCTGCAGGGTGCATCCCTGCCTCCTGCCAGGGCAGGAACATCTTTGGGCAGAGAGATGTGCATGTTCCTGCCCTCCTCTGCCTGACACCTTGGCTCTCCAAGAGGAACAGAGACCAACTGTTATTTATGTGTATTTTAGAAATACATTTTCTTCAGCTGCACATCCCTGCCAGCCTTGTTTAGGGAAGTTTTAATTGTATCTGGCTTCTCTTTGGTCTTGTGTACAAGATGAGGAAGTTTTCATCTGTGCCTTTAAAAAAAACCCCACATCCCTGCCAAGATGTATTAGGAGAGCTGTAAAAAAGGAGTCATCCTGTTCCAGGACTGCGAGGCTTATGTAACAGGGAAATCCTAACGAAAAGCTACTCCCCCACCCCATGCACACTTTCTCAAGGCACATGCCACCTCAGGCTTTTCACTTGCTCAGTTTGTATTTTGATCACATCTGCCACTGGTTTATTTAGATGTATTTACAAATATATTCTCCCACATACCCTCATTTGTACATGCCACAACGTTTTTATAAAATGCAGTGCAGACCTCACCTCACTGCAGGGATCTTTAAATAAAATATATTGTAAAGTGCCAGATACAATTCTTTTAAAAAATACAGTTCTAATTAAAACAGATACTTGGCTGCCACATTAGCAGCTTCGTATACCAACACAGTTTTAGCAGTCTATTTCTGTCAGGTGAGCGGGAGGCTCTCATGCCACCCCTCTAGCTCTCCAGTTTCAAGTCCAAAGGCTTTAGAAAATGAGGCAGAGGCAGATTGTCCAGAGCCTCTGGGAAATGCTCAGGTGAAATGGTCCTGATCAAGACACGCATGGCTCCAACAAACAGCGACGGGGGAGCTAAGCCCAGCAGGCATTGGAACCTGTTCTCCCCTAGGAGGTCCTGCCACCGCTGCCGGTTGTCCAACAGTTGCTGTTTCATTGTGAACTGGAGGTCCTGAGGCACGAAGAAGAAGAGGCAGTCGAGGCAGAGGAGCTTGGCACGCATGTTAGCTGCCGGCGTGTGGGAAATCTGCTGCAGCAAGGTGTCGAGGGGAGTATTCCCAGCACTGTCCTGCAAGCAGGGCGACGCGCCATGCCCGAGCAGCAGGAGTAAGCACTCGGGTCGCACCAGTTCGCAGGCCACATGCAAGGCCGTCTTGCCACCCTCCACGCGGCTGCAGCCCCGGCGGTCCAGGTGGCCGGCTCTGTCGCTCGGCGGGAAGGCTTGGATGGCCTTGAGGATTCGGAAGAGAACACGGACCCGATTGTAGCGGACGGCCATGGCCAGGTGAGGGGCAGAGGACTGGCAGCAGCTGAAGCTCTGGC